AAATCCATATAAGATGACCTCAAGCCTTCTTATTGGAGAAATGTGATCCAAAACACATTGAAGTCCTGAAAAATATATTCACCAATTTCTCTGAGCTTTTTAACAGACTCTGATGATTTTAACTATCAACAAGTAATATGGTTTTTCTCTAGGTTTTACAAACCTAGAAAGATATGAACTCCTCTCCCAAATTTTCCCCTACACCCTGTTGCTGTCTTCAGCTCTAAAATAATGTAAGAATGTTCCTACAATTTCCTTCCAGTTAATTTTTCCTGAACAGGGACAAAATTACTTCTATTACCTTAATTGAGTGCTTTTACATAAACATAAAAGACTAATATACTAATTATTTCTGCTGATATTTCAAAATCAGTTTCATTGTGTTGACCTTTGTCATACCCACTAGACTATAAATAAGCAGAATGACAATTTTCTGGAAAACTTAAATGACATTTTAATGCATTTTCCACTCTTTTAAAATATAGTAATTATTTATCAGTGTATCAATTGCTGTTTCCCAGACTTCTCTAGGACAGTATTTTAAATAAAAGCCTAAGCTTTTACTAAGGCATTCTGTGTTATTGGTCATATTTTGCCATCCTTCTCTTTAAACTTACATAGTTACTTGTATTAACCACTGTATAGCATGCCAAGAAGTGAAAAAAAAAAAAAAAAAAAGTAAAGTTCATTTCATGACAATTTTGGAAGTTGTAGAATTTCATTCCCTCCCAACATACATGGAAGTTCTGCCTATTTTCACTACTTTCATCAAAACATCCCTATTCACACTGAGTCGATCAGAGTTTCAGTACAGGATCCTCTTTACATACCCTGAAGAGTCTGTGCTGTTCCTTGGAACTCTCACTGTCTGAAACATGTTCAAAATTCATACAATTCAATTAATCATTTGTGTCATGTCAAAACCAACATTTGGCTGATGAAATAATTTCAATGACAATATTCCAACCAATACTAATACCAGAAACTTTAGTTACAAACATATGCCCACTGAAAAAAAAAACAAAACCTTTCTGGTGTAAGAATATAATACTTGTTTAACCTTGACTGCTTTACCAAAATGGAATATTTCAGTGTATAATCTCTCTTGAGGTAAAAAACACTGTATTATTTGAAGTGCAGGTCAGGACAAGAATGTTTTGTGCTTCCCTGTGTTTTGAAAGAGAACAAACTAAAATTAAAAAGCCTAAATTTCACCCCCTAATGTTTTATTTTGGCCTGCAAGCTTGTTGCTATTTGACATTTTCAGATTTTTCAAGACTTTCAACTTTGCAATGAGAATCAGCCTTGCAATGAGAACTACTTTCAGCACAGCCTTTTTATGTAAACACAGTTTCCTGTTTTGCTTCAAAGCAAAATTATGAAAAAAAAATCCTAACAGCTATGCAATCTTATCACAACAGGTACTACATTTGTGACCATCTCTTGTAACACAAGTATTATGTAGACAATAGGAAAGAGTTGTGTCCTGCTCAGGGGCCAAGAGCTCATATTACAGAGCCATGACTTTGTTTATTGGAACTTTTGTGTATCATTAGTTCTCACACAACCCAAAGAATGACACATATTTTAAGAAGAAACAATTTTTATTAGGCCCATAGAGACAACTGAGTAAATGACATATTAGATAAAGCAGATCAATGCAGGTGAACTACTCTTTGAGCCTGAAGTATAGAGAAAATATGAAAGTAATTGTAGCTCATTACTTTGAATTCTACTTATTATCTCAATCAGTTGGATGTTTGAGAGAAAATTGTTTTCTATTTTGGGACCAGAGGGTGATCTTGACCCTATTAAGAGTATAAGTGGTGACAGAAGTGGAATGATCAGAGCAAACAGTAATCAAAGATCAGCAAGACTTGAGAAACACGGAAACTCAGAAGTCTTTGTCAAATTCATCTGATATGAAATCCAGTATCTGATAGAGTTGCAAATTTTGCTTCTCTGACCCATCTTTGGTCTTGCAGTGTCAGGATTGCAAGGTTAGAGATAGAATAATTGTTTTGGGAATATAATTTTCCAACTGGTAACTGGGCGTCACTGTTCTTTCCTAATTAGGTATCCTGTGGCGGATGTTTGGTTTCACCCACAGAGCTCCCTAAGAGCAGTGAATTTATTTCGTGCTGCCTATGGCATTTCGGAATGCTCATGTGTAACATCTGTATATTTTGGTGGTTCTGCTGGAGCAGGTGATTATCATGAGGGCTGTGGCAATATTTGAGTATGAATTTCCTGAGCTATCTGGCTCTAGCCAGCGCATACTGGTCGGCCAAAATTTGCTTTCAGTGATGGAGCTAATGATAATGAGTGTGGTTTGAAGGGAAGGATGGGTGTTTCTAGGAAAAATAATTTCAAGGTATGATTTTCTTCCAATATAAGCTACAACTTGTTAACATTTTCCAGTATACATTTCTTGCATATTGTGGTATATAATACCCAGTAGGGGATTTCCTCTTTGTATTGTAGTAAGTTTGGAAAAGGTTCAGGTGGCTTCTTCAAATGTGCTATCCTAGTGGAGTGTCAGTGTTGGATGAGCATCATCTGTAGCTTTGTGAGGCCGTGTCATGAGTGCTTTCCTCAGAGCAAATGAGGTGATGTCTGTGGGCTATATCAGTTTTTCTAGTGTGTTTTGGATAGCTGATGGTTTGTGGAAGGAGGTGTGTTGGTCTGTGGATTTTCTGCATATGGTATTTTGACGGTTGCTATTTTTTATGTTGACCTTGGTGTCTAGAAAGTTGGTGCTGATGTAAGTTTTCCAAAGAGTTTGATGGGCAATTCTGGTTGCTGGATTTGTGGTAGAAATCAATGAGGGAATCTAAGTTTTCAGTGCAGATGTCATTTGTGTACCCCTAGCATACCCTAGGAACCTATGTTGGTTTGGTGGGAAGGTTCGTGTTTTACGCGGGGTGGCTCCTGATGAGCCTGATGTCCTGGTGCTTGATGAAAATACCTGGGTGCTTGTAATTGCATCTGAGATTTTCTGAGTGTGAAATGGTTGTGGATGAACGTGAAACAGATGGGCTTTATTCAATTCAAGAGACTGGCACATATAAGACACTTAAGCATAGGGGCAGCAGTAATGGTTCCCTGGTGGAACATACGATGGAAACACTAAAGATGGTAGAGAAGATAGTTAATAAAGCCAGTAGGAAAGATAGTTACGAAGCAGTGATCCTGGAGGAAGCATATTTGTCCAGAGAAAGTTGTTTTCACATGTGACAAAGTATTTAAATATGGTGTCTGCAGATCCTCATAGCTCTTCATGGAAAGTCTCCTTACATTTCCTTCTGCAAGAATCTAGAAGAGCACCTTAAGGTGGCAAGAGCTGACACATTTTTTCCATTGTCATTAGGAAGAAATTTGAACTCTAGGGTGAAAAAAGCAGAGAACTTTCTTGAGTTCCTTTTCATAGGAAAGCATAAAATATCATGTGCTGGCATCACTGATACGATCCTAACTTCTTCTTTATCAATTGTTTAATAACTAATTGGTGACTGGCTTTTAAAAACTATGTAGACCCTTAAAGATTCCATTTTTACCTTTTAAAAATTTCTTTCTGAAAGAATTGTTTTTGTAGACCAATGTAAAATTGATTTAGGAGGGTGCAGCTCACTCTAATGTGAGATTATTTTACAGATGATGGTGGCTATTTTGTCTTTTTTTTTCCTAGAAAAGTTGAGACACAGTTACAGGAACACTTCCTGCAATTGGACTACAGACCAAAATGCTCCCAACATTTCTGAGAATAAAAGAAAGCATTTACAAAGAAGAAATAGTGGTAGATATTCAAGGTTGGGGCATTCCTCCCAATGACTTTGTGGTGGGTGATGTTGAGATGCAGGTCCCCTCATCATAATTTCTCAGGTGTTATCTTGTTGGTGAAGGAATTGCCATTGCACTATTTTGGTTCAGTGCTAAACATCAGTTTCTTTTGATAGTGATTTGTTGCACAGTGGTTCGGCGAGTTCCAGTTTCCTTTACTATGTTGGAGCTCATAATTTTGTCAGGTTTTGTCAACCTCTCAGGAAGGTAAAATTTTCTCAGTTTCCAGATTAGAGAGACCTAAACAGGATATTGTGTCACATACTTGAGTTGAAACAGACTTTTTTTCTACAAACAAGATGACCTGCAAGATGTCTCTGTGTCATTCTCTCATGTTCCTCAAAGCCTGAGCTGGACTTCAACTCACCTTTATATCTGGCCTGAACAGGACTCTAAGAGGACATGAGAAAGAAAATGGCCACAAACTGTAGCATGGCTTTATGAAGAAGAGTTTTTGGTATTGAATTTAAGCTGAGACATGGAGAACACCAGAAAATGTTCCTAAGCAAGGGCTCAGCCTGGCTGCATGTGGGAGATGAGGAGACTCTGAGCTGGTTTCACTGCCAGCTAGGTGCTAGCACACCCCTGCCATGTCTTTAACCCATGCCTTTAACACGATTGTGAACTGTGTTGCTTCTTTGGACAATGCAAGTCAACAGCACTTGTACCCATTTTAGCCGGGCTTGAGTGAAGAACGAGTGAGACTGGGAGGGGTTGGGAGGCCTTTGGTCCCCTGAGCGTTTGGAGCCACCAAAGGGGCTAGGGGATGTGGAGCCGAGGCGCACGCTGACTTCAAACACCGGAAATTTAGGGGAAAGGGACCCCGCAGATGCAACCAGGGGCTCAGGGAAGCCTCGCCTGACGGGGCCGCCTGGGTGGAGCACAAACCTGAGTGAGGGAAGGGTGAGGCTGGGGCAGGAGGCGGCGGAGGCAGGGCTGTGCCCGCGCGGCGCTCAACCCCGCGGAGCTCCGCTGCGCGGGGCGGAGCAGCGCCGACCGCCATCCCCGGGCGACCTGCCCGGCGGCGGGGGCCGGGGCACCGGGGGCAGGGGCGGGCCCGACCCGGGCCGGCGGGGGCCGGCCTGTGCTCGGGGAGGGGAGGGGAGGGGAGGGGAGGGGAGGGGAGGCGAGGCGAGGCGAGGCGAGGCGAGGAGGGGGCGGCGGTGGTGCGTGTGGCGGCGGCGGGCGGAGGGAGGAGGAGGAGGGCGGCAGGGGCGCGCCGCCCGGGGCTGATTGGCCGCCCCGGTTATAAGAGGTGCCCGGCGGGGACGGCGGGATTGTTTGCAGGCGCTGGGGAGTTCGGCGGAGCCGCGTGTGGAGCCGTCGGAGCGGAGAGGAGCGGAGCTGCGATGCGTCGCGCCAGCCGAGACTACACCAAGTACTTGCGCGGCTCCGAGGAGCTGGGCAGCGGCGCCGCCCACGAGAGCGCCCCGGCGCCGCCGCCGCCCCCGCCGCCCGCGCACCCGCACCCGCCGCCCGCATCCCGCTCCCTCCTCGCCGCCCTCGTCCTCCTGGGGCTGGGGCAGGTGGTCTGCAGCGTCGCCCTCTTCCTCTACTTCCGAGCTCAGGTAAGCGGGACCTGGCGCGGGCGCTTCCCGCGGAGGCGAGTGCGGCCGTCTCGCACCCTGCAGAAGAGGGCAGGGCCCTCGTGTCGGTGCGATCGAGGGGATAAAGTAAAGAAAAACAGAACAAAAAGTTTTAGAGCACACTAGTCTGTCTCTGAAGTTGATCCAGTTCTGAGAGGAGTCGGGCCAATGGGATCGCAGTGTCCTCCCAGCGTGTGCTGTCCCCAGTCACTGGAGCTGCTCAGTACGAGGGGTACCGGGTAGCGCTCCGGGCATCGGGTGCATTTTGGGGTACAGGCCTTCGCCGCAAGGTTGGATATGAGGGGTTCCCTGACTCGAGAAACAGGTTAGTCATGATCCTTCACCTGCAGTCTGACAAGGTTTTTAATGATCTCAGTTTTCCACTGGTGAGAATTTTGCCATTGGGTATTAGACAGAGGTTCTTCACCCAGAGGGTGATTGGGCCCTGGAGCAGGCTCCCCAGGGAAGTGGTTACAGCACCAAGCCTGACAGTTCTAGAAGTGTTTGGACAATACTGTCAGGGACGTGGTGGGATTTTTGGAGGTGGTGCTCTGTGGGGTCAGGAGTTGGACTCGATGATTCTTGAGGGTCCCTTCCAACTCCTCATAATCAGTGATTCTGTGACATGGCTGAGGTCTTTGGCTGCCTTAAATGTTTCACCAGCAGGAGAAATGGCTTTAAGGACAAAACAGATCTTCATGCAACAGCACTCGGGATAGTTTGTCACTCGGGCTGCGCAGGGGCGCTGCAGAGGAGCGTGTGCACGTGGGTTTCGGACAGAGGTGCCTGCCACAGCTCAGGAACTTTTTCTGGGATGCTCGGGATTTCTGGGCGAGAGCCGCACCTCACCTGCCAGGCCTCAAGTGTGCCGGGATGCCTCGGAAGAGGCAGCGGTGCGTGCCGAGAGGAGCGCGGGGAGGTATCGCTGTGGGGGCAGATAAGATGATGAGCGGTTGGGCTTTCGGAGAGAAGAGGAGTCTGCTTCCTGGAAATGGCTCGGCTGCCTGGATTCCCTCGCTGCTGCATCTCTTACCCTGTAAAGCTGAGCCCTCTCGGAGGAAGTGGGGGAGCTGGCAGCTAGTTGGTTCTCAGGACTAGGTGTTAGATTTCTGCTTGGCTTTATTGTCGGATGCTAGCTAGTTCTGTTGATGTGGGTCTGACTGCCGTCATGGAAGTGGTGCTTCTGTTGTGTGTACTTTTCATTTGAAGTCGGCAGAGACTGGAAACCTGTTTCTTTCGGTTTACTTTCTAGGTAGAGGTACTTGATCTGAGGTAGCAGGCTGGATTTCCTAACTAAGTGCACTCTGAAAGCAGGTGTTGCACAAGTGTATACCTGCTTAATCAGATAGTGGCTGTCAAATACACAGTACTGCTGCTGATAACTTATTATGCAGACTAATTAATATTTTCTTACTGACAATGGCTTTGTGTTTTCCATTTTTCGAAAAATAAAATGTAATAGCAATACAGCACTTAGTTAATCATAACTTATATATTTCAGAAGAGTGACATCTAATTTCTGGGATTAATTGTAAAGTAGCTTAAAGCTACTTGTTTGCTTGACAGTGAAATAAATTAATGCCTGCTTCATCTTGTGACAGGGGAATGTTTTCACTCCAGATGTTCATGAACCTGAAAAGACATTCTTGTCAAAACACAGCTCAGAGATGCACAGCTGTACATTCATTAGGGGGCTCGAGAGCCATTGCAATCAAATCAGCTAATCAAAGTGTACCCCCTTATAAAAGACTCTTCCTGATAGGTACATGTTAGGGTTTCATGTGTGCCTAACAAAGGGTAAAAAGAACCATAATGGCTATTTTTCTTCTGCTTCCTTGATTTAAAAACTTGCATGGTTCAGGTGTAACTCTGCATTTGACAGCTTAATTCTGTTGCTAGTTTCTTGTTCTTGTAGATTTGGAGTAGTGCTATTGAATGGAGTCTTTAGTAAATTTGAATTTCCAAAATATCTAGAAGAGGTGATATAACTCAATGTAGGCTTGACTGAAGTAATTGTCTAAAAAATTTTAATGTAAAAAGTGTAATCAATGGAAAATAGGATAATAAGTATACTCTTGAATTAAGTACATAATTCACTATAAGGAGGTATAATTTGTGGTTGTTCACCATTTTAAATGGTGAAATAATATAGATGGAAAAACATAGTAGGTCCTGCAGAAGTTAATTCTTATTTCATGCTCTTAGAGATTTATTTTATTTAAATGGGACATGATCAGGCCTCTTTCTTTTGAAAAAAAAATTCTGTGAAGTTTGATTTTATTAAGCTACTTCAATTTGGCCTTTTCAGTGTAAATTTCAGCTATCTTAAGTTCATACTTTAATAACAGAATTTAATTATTTTTAATTAATTTTGTTGAAATAATGAGGTGTTAGTAGTAGAAGCTGTGCATGAAAAGATTTGAATTGTTTGCTTGGTAAATTAAGCAAATGTGAATTAGAAAGATTTGACTATATAGGCTGATATTAAGAAATTATATATCTTAGAAGCTTTTAAAAACCTTATCTAAGAGTCTGAGTAAACTCTGACTCAGTTTTACCACTCACATTTTGTCTGTATTTGCATAAAGTCATTTGGGCTGGATCATGACATAGTATAAGTTGAGACAATAGTTGAGGTTTTGGTTTTTCCTTAATTTTGTTTATTTTGTGGCTTGAGCATTTGGAATTTCACAAGACACATAACTAAGACTGACACTAGGTTTTCACGGGTAAACATATGTTTGTGGCCAAGAAATAATGCAGTGCCATGCAAGTGAGACAATGAGTTGGTATGTCGAAAAAGAAAGAAAAAAAAAAAAAAGCAACATGTTTGAATTTTACCAGTATTCTCATAATAATGTACTGAAATGTAAAAACATCAGCATGTTTTATCCTTGCTTTTTGATCTATCCTGTGCAGTGTACTGAATCCAAGAAATTAAATGGTAAAAAAATGTATTGGTCTTAAGCATTTGTTTTGCCTATACTTTGAGGAATATTTTCTCATTATCTATAAGAATGCCATGGAAATTTAAAGATACTCAGAGCAGCTGGAGGTCATCATTTGATAGAGACTCATGCATAGCACAAGGTGAGAGAAGTATTTTCTTCAACTTTGACTGATAAATGCTGAGGTACAGTCTCCAAAAGCTTAGCTTCTAAGCTTTTCTTTCTGGCCCATTTCCTTAGTGTGCTTAGTAGGATTCTGATCTAACACAGACTGAGCTGGAGGGCAGTGAAGAAAATTGAAAGTGCTCAAAATGAAATGTGGTGGCTGAGTGTCTAATGCCCACAGTTTAAGCTAGACCTCCAAGAGTGTGCACTTTTCCCATTAAAAAAAGTCTGTACAAATTTCAAGTATTCTACCAGATTGAAGAGTTCACAGTTGGATACATGGTGACCTGGAAGCCCAGTTTTTATTGTCATTTCATACTTATGTGGAATTCTTGTGGTATGTTTTCAAACTATTGCTTTTCAGACTTCATCTGAAGTTTTGTGAGCACTGTGGCTAACAGAAAAAACAGCTTTCTGAGGATCAGTAACATCTTTCAGAAGCCTGAAAGGACCTCTTCTTGGTGCTTAAGAAAGGTCATGGAGTGCAAAGTGATATTTGATAGTCTGGAAAGTGGTTTAAGTTTGAAAAGAAGTACAAGTATAGATTGTAAACATTTATTGTAAGGAGTAAGTATTTAATGCAATATTGTAACAGTGCATAATTGTTGCAAAATTTAATAGCAAAGATGAGTGGAATGTATTGTGTCTTTTAAAACCAAACTGAGTCTTTTTTGCATCAGAAAATTGGTTCTTAATTCTGTAAGTTAATTTAAGCCATGATGCTGTAGTTCATTTTGGCTGCCCTGAAGTGGCTGAATAGAGTCCAGAAATGCAACTAGAGTGATGAGATGCTGAAAACTGGGGGCACTGAAGAGTCTGACCTGATTTCAAGGTCAGACAAAGTGGATATTAAAAATAATCTAGTTTAATTCCTCTAGGGTATTTAGGATACTTCACAATTTATAAAGCTTTCTCCTTTATTTGTGTTTGCATCTTGATATTTCTTCCAGATGTTAGATCTTTACAACTTTTTGCTGAAGGTGCCCTGCCCTGGAAGTTAGCAAGCTGCTTCTGGTATTTCATCATAATTTTCTCATTCTTTAGAAGTTCTTCTCAAAACACATCCTTGGAAGTTTTTCTGTGCATCACTACTTCCCCAGTTTTGATCTCAGTGCTTGGAATTGCTTGTTTACAGCCATGGCAGTTCAGTGTAAAGACTTACGATGCAGGATTTCTGAGAAGTCCTTTTCAGGCAAGTGGGCTGTTTTTCATAGTTAAATGTGGTGAAGACTATTCTTGAAGGTATTCTTTGAAAAAGGTGAGGGCAACAGGTGGGTTAGCTAGTCCCAAGATCAGAGTTTCCCCTTATCAAACAGTACCTCTGGAGACTTGCAGTTTTTGTCAGGGTGGGCTGCACAGCTCCAAGCTGCTGAAACCATCAGCTGCAGTGTTTCCATTAAGCCTTCAGTCTTTCACATGTAGGTGCAGAGATGCTGGATTTCTGTCTTAAGACTTGAGCAGATAAACTGTAATCTGAGCAAGGGATTCAATGCAATCTGCTGTTACTGTTGTGATACAGTGTTGTGTGACACATTTGCATGATTGCTCGTAGCAGTGAGTCTATGCTTGCATGATTTGTCATGCTGGACACTCAGGCCTTTACAAGTTTCATGATCTTTGTGCTACAAAACCGAATTTTCTTGCTTGTAATTTGGAAGATGTGTTTTATTAAATCCAAAACTGGGATAGCAGTCTCTGTCTAGTAGAATTACTGATAAAAATTAGTATGTATTGGCAGTTATTTGCTGTAACTTTCTGTGTTCTATTATATGATTTGTGTAGAGGGGAGAAGACTCAGATATCCAGATCCTGTTAAGAGACATCAGTCAGGTCTCTAATGATCTCAGCATGAGAGGTTGCATTTGAAATAATGGGTCCTATTTTGGGTCCCTTGGTACCAAAAGTATATAAAAAAAATGGAAGGTGTCCAGCAGAAAACAACTGTTACAGGTAGGAGCCATAATATATAAGAGAATGGGAGAGCTGGATTCTTTGACAAAGAACAGACTAAGGTGAGGGAAGCTAGTCACTGTTTTTAGCTACCCAAAGACAGGCTCTTCAGAAGCATTCAGCAAAAACAAGACGCACAGTCATAAATTGCAGCAAGGAGAGCTGTAGCTGGATGTAAAAACCAAGGATTTTTTTACACACTAGAAGTAGTGAAGTTTTAGGACAGTTTGCCCAAAGAAGCTGAAAGTTTTCCTTGATGGACATTCCCCAAAGCTTGTCCAAGCCCTTAACCCACCTGGCCCAAGTTACAAGTTGGTCCTGCTTCAAGCAGGAGGCTGGACTAAAGATGCCCAAAGGTACCTTCCTACCCAAGTCATTCTGCATTAACTGTCTTTTAGCGGCTGTTGGTAAACATTTTGTACTTATTTTTTTTTTAAATTTTAGTTTACAGTTAATTTTCTGAATTCTGAATACAAGTAGAACATAGTGTGAGAGATGCTTGAGAGTGCAGTTTTACAGTCAGTTAAAGCTAGTGCTGCCTTCCTGATACTTCATTCTTATCCCTGTACTGACTCTGATGCTTGTCTGACGTATCTGGAGTGACTTGGTTTTGGGAAACTAATCATAAAGGAAATTAGGCCAGCAAAAATTCTTCCCTTGTTACTGATTTGGAAGAGGAGACTGAAATCCAGGAATTAAATTCTGTGGTGAACGGGGTCAGAGCAGAGAGATGCTGGTTTAGATCTCCTTATGCAGTTAATGAGGCTGCACTGCACTAGCTCACTTCAGAAATGAGCATTAGTGTAGGTTTTTAGCACTGAATTCATAGAGCTGCAATGGCTATATACAGATTTTCTTTGGGGATTCCACTGTGTCAGGCCATCACAGGAAGATGTTACTGCCTCCAAGCCATTCTGTAACTCATCACTACCCCTCTGCTCAAAGCTGAGGCATCTTATGGTCTTCAGGTGAACCTTCTATGCCTGTTTCATTCCAAATCTGCAGGGATGACTGAAACAGCTAAACCAGGCTACAGGAGCTGATACTGATCTGAATGAATTGGGCAAAGAGCTTTCCATGTGGAGACTTGAGCAGAAGGATGATGATGGGGGAGGCAGCATTTGGTACTGCTGTCTGTGCAACAGATGTCTCTCTGCTGTGTTACTATTGGTGGTGTAGACTTTAATTCAGCTCTGTAATCCTAACCTTACAGTTTTAAGGTTAGTTAAGGGTTTGAATTTATGTTCTGTGAACAAATGATATGCTTGATTCACTCTGGCTGTTTTGTATTGTGAAAAACTTCCTTTTGATATGCTGTTTTGTTCAGCTCTGTGTTAAAGGAAACTGAACACTAGATACTGCCCATAATGTCTTGATATTTCTGCATTGCAATTTCAAATAACCTTTTGTAATTCTCAGGTAAAAGTGGTTTTTCCAATTAAGAAAGATAGAAGTAAGTGTTCTTTAATAGGCCAGCAGATACAGTTAGAGAACCTAGACTAAGAGTTTGAGTGCATAAACCCTTCTTTAAGCCTGAAGTAAAAGCAGAATAAATGTGAGTTGAGAACAATTTCTGAGAGTCCTTGGCCATCTCTGAAAGATAGTTGTTAATGTCTTCAGTGTAAAGGATGTGGAGTAAAAAGTGAAAAAAGGGTGAAGTAGTTTAAATAGTTTTTGTGCAATAAAATTCTCTTGAGGTACAATCCTAATCCTTGGATTGTCTTCCAATTTATCTAAGTGATAGAATGCAGGATTTAAAAATATACTTAATTCAGTCACAAAGAATGATTGATAAAAATGTCTTGCAGGTACTCTAAACTTACCATTCCTTGTCCAATGATGCAGAGCCAATTTGTGGTGCAGTTTAATCATCTTTTGGTCTTTAACTTTTGCTGTCTTGCTGTCTTTGTGACTATTTCACTCAGCAGTATCTCTTGCCACTGTCATGGTTTAATCCCAGCTGGCAACTAAGTCTCAGACAGCTGCTCACTCCCTGATGGGATTCTGCAGAGAATTGGAGGAGTAAAATTTTATCTCATGGGTTGAGATAAAAAAGAATTTAAAAGGTAAAGGAAAAGCTGCACACGCAAAGGAAGCAGAATATGAAGGCAGGTGTTTAGCCATCCCTAGGACAGCAGGGCTCTACCACACATGAAGTGACTTGGGAAGACAAATGCCATCATTCCAAATGTCTCCCCTTTCTTCCTTCTTTCCCCACCTTTATATACTGTGCATGATGCCATATGATGCCATGGGGCCATTCTGGTCAGGTTCTGGTCAGGTGTCCAGGCTGTGTCCGGTCCCAGCTCCTTGTGCAGCCCCAGTCCTCTCTCTGGTGGGGTGGGCTGGGAGGCAGAAAGGGCCCTGACTCAGTGTCAACCCTGCTAGCTGTAACAAACACATACCTGTGTTGCCAACACTGTTATGGTCACAAATCCAAAACACAGCCCCATGCCACTGTACAGCCACTGTAAAGTAAACTCTATCCACAATGAGCACATCCATAAAACAGCTTCAGTAATAGCTGACTGACAGCTTCAGTGATGATACCATTTCAGTGATAAAATGGGTTCAGAGATAACTTCGGTGTCTTCTCTTGAAAATGATGTGCTATACACACACACACATACTTCCCCCAAGTTTCTCTACTTGACATTCATGTGTCATCTTACAAACAATAGCTTTTGAGGTAGGATAGCTGTGTATATTTCTTGCTAAAATAACTGTGATATTGCCCTGAGTGGTTGAAATACAGAATTCAAAATTATTTGCTTTACCATAAGAGTGGGATTTATCTTTAACTTTTGAAAGTCACATATCTAGTCTAAGCTAATGAAATAGGCAGCACCAGAAGATAATTTGTTCTCCTATCTCGCATGTTGGTTGGATGAAATAAACCTCGATGTTTGGAGCTGTTTCTCTTGACACTAATGAGAATTTAGATAATAAACTTAGCCAGGGTGGTTGAAAAGTCTCTAACACTTAGAACTGTGTTGTTTTTGTTTCAGATGGACCCTACTAGAATTTCAAAAGAACATGCACACTGTGTCAGAACACTTTTTGGACACCAAGAAAGTACAGATTTGCATGATGCCTCCTTTGAAAGTCAAGAAGTGAAGTTAATGCCAGAATCCTGTAGAAGTGTGAAACAGGCTCTCCAAAGGGCTGTGCAGAGGGTAAGTGGCACAGACAATGTGTTTCTTTATTTCATGGTCCTGTTGAAACTAAAACGATTTTTCTGAAATCTTTATTCAGAGGTAAGTTATATGAATTATTTCCTGGTGTATGAGTAACACCTGATGTTTATTCAGGATTGTATTGTATTTGCTGATGATTCTGGTAGTGGCTAGCCAATTCTGTATTCAAGTACATTTTATTAATTTTATTTTTCTTTTAAGAAAGGAAGACTTGAAGTTGTACTAAGAAAAGTGAAGTTAGGTGATTAGCCATTCTGACATGTGGGTGGGCCTGAACAGTAGTCATTTATGCTAAGACTTGTATAGGTTTTCCAGATGCTCATAACAGGTGTCAGTTCCACATTCTTTTCAAGGGAATCTTCCAAATAAGATTCTCTTAACTCATCAGCAAGCAAAATATTGCCTGAAGGAAAAGGAGATAGCATTTGCTCTCAGTTGTTCTTGTTTCTTAGTCTGGAGTCCAAAATGAGGGTCAGTGCCTGCTTTGGTTTTGCTCCCTTTGCCAGTATGCAGGCAATTCTCACGCTGGCAGAAGACCTACTTGGCTGTAGTGTGATAACTGGGTGGTCTTTGTCCAGGAATTGAGAATGACAGGTTGTTCCCAAACACAAATGACAAAAGAAGTCAACCCTAATGAAAAAGCCTAGGCAAGCTGAAAGTATGCCACAATCTCCTTTTACTGCAGTTACTGCCTTTGATCTCTTTTTGTGTTCATGATAGTGTTTAGTGCTAATTATGGGCTGTGTAACAGATGGATGTCTGCTATGGTATTTGGTTTTTCTGGCTTATCAGGCCCATTACAGCTATACTGCCTCACATCTTCATAGGACTGGCAGTTTTGCATTAAGGGTATTACATTAGATTTGAGCTGTACTCACATATGTTTTAGCATGAACTGTACTTGAGTTAAATTTTCAGCATTTGAATTGTGCTAATATGATATTTAGTTTTAACAGAGAACTCTAAGTACGTGTCTTTTTGTGGACAAAACACAGAGACACATGGAGTCTATGTCTTGTCCTTTTTGCTAGCCACCTCCTTCAAGACCTTAAGGGGGAAAAAAAGGGTTATGTCTGTAGGATGTCCTCTTGCATTTTTTAGAGCCTCTCACACTGCACCTACATATGTGCTGTGTACTGGGCTGTTCCTTCACTCATGATAGTGGAAGGAGCTTGTTACAGTAATTCAATGGGGAGCCCTGTGTTCTGGTCATTTGCTGCTGGTTACTCAACAAAGGCACTGGCTTTAGCTGAGGCTTTATATCCTGCCAGTCTGGATGGAGGTTAAATGCTGCAATGTCCGTGGCTGGGATAAGTAGTGAGTAGGGATAACTTTTTTGGCTGATCACCATTAGTTTGAGAACAATAAAGTTTCCCTTGCCAAAGTAATTAGACTCTGAATTTCTTTTGAATGCAATGGAGTTTATTAAGCAGCTGCACCAGTGGTCTGGATGCTTTGTCATCTTGTATCAATGACAGAGAAAAAAATAGATAGGAAGGTGGTGACCTGAGGCTTTTTACATCTTTTTTGGTACATCAGAGAAGTGAAAGTAACAGTGTCAAGGCAGAATTATACTTTATCATCATCTGTAAATTCTGCCTTTCAGTCATCCTGCTACAATGAAGAGCAGAGATGCAGCTATAACTTACTTGCAGTTGCACACACTCCTTTGTGTGTGGATCCAGCTAATGTGACTTAAATGAGATTTCATGTTGTCTATGGTTTCTTCACTTTCCTTAAGGAGAATCTAACTTGTGTGTTTTAAGAACCAGTATCCTTATTTGAACTGGCGGCATGCTGAGTGACTAAAATGGAACACCTCAAAATACCATTTATGTTTTTTGATTTTTCAATATATTGTCTTTTGCAATTTGAGCTGTTCAGGAAGTGAAAATAGACAAATTTCTTTTGCTCAGGTTTATGGTCTGGTTACAGCTTCTAGCTTCCTGTGCCAGTTCTTATTGGTTTTCTTTGCACACCTGTAGACAGAGTGCTTAAATGTAAGGCAGAGGTTGATGTTGAAAGTGGAAGTGCTCTTATGAAAACCAGTGTAGTAGGGCTGCAAGATCCAATCTAGAAATACTTGCCTCCTGAAAAAATAAGGATTTTTCTTTTAATCAGAATATAATCATTGATTCCTTAACATATTCTGTGATAAAAATTCTGCTTAAGGAGCAGCTCACTAAGTAGAGAGAATATTTTCAATATTGCATATAAACTTTCAAGCAGACAAATAATATACTTTCCTAGCCAGTCTGTTTGCTTAATTTTTTTCCATGTAACCCTAAAAAGCTTTTGGCAGTCCAGATGCTCTAACCACAGTCCTTATGAAGTCTGTTATGAGCCTGAAGTAGAAAGGACTACAAACATATCCTGGGTCAATCCATAAGTAACTTTGTTTGGCAGTGCTCCCAGGTTCTAGCTGCTTGTGAAGTTCAGGCATAAGCTGTTCTCCCTCATGGCAACAGAGTGCTTTGCTAGATCTCCAGGGCAGCATTTATAAAGAGATCTATATACTTAGCAGACATTTAAAAAGCACATAGTTATGGACCAAGTAAAGGTTTCACAAGTGATTGCTGTAAGTTGTTAAAATTGTGCCTACGATTTTGTAGGTTTCCATCCTACAGTCTTACATGCCTTTTTTTTTTTTTTTTTTTTTCTGCAAGCAGTAGACTACTCATTTGGAGAGGGGTTTTATTGCTGGTCTCTAAACTACAGTCTGATGAATATAGGTTCATGTACTTTCTATTTTACTTCCTTTCCGATTAACATTCTTCAAATTGCTGAATTTCCGGCAAGAGAATCAGATACGTCTTCCTGGTATGTGCTGTACTTAAAGCTCTTGATAATAAAAAAATCAAGTGCATGAAGAAGCTGTAAGACCACATCTGAAGCAATAAGTGAGAGTCCAGAAGTTCTCTTCTCATTGGTCTCAAAAGGGTACTTAGAGCTGCTCAAAGGAGATGCTGAGATATTTAGATAAAAGCTGAAGGAGACTAAAAACCTTTCACAGCTGTCATGTCTTCAGGTGTAGCCTTGTCTCTGCATCTTCAGCATTGGACAGAAGTTCAAAAGCAGCAGTTATTTCTGCAGCCGGTTGTGGATGAAGTAGAGAGCAGTTCCTTACTTTCCAGACACTTTAAACATGATTTTTAGCTTTAAAATGAGAAATTTTTGGAGCTTCTTAATGGCCTCTTATTTTTTTTTTTTTTCTGATGAAGGGAAGACATGTTTTTCATTTTTGTGACTAACTCCTTGTCTGTTGTTTAAACAGTGTGTGGAGGAGGTTGGAATGTGGGAAGTTGGCCGGCAGAGTTGACTCGGTGGGCAGTGAGCAAATGACAAAGGTGTGCAAGTGCAGCTTGTCATAAGATTAAGAGTGGGGTGATTTTTGTGTACAGTTCTGCTAAAAATAACTGAACAGCTTGGTATCACATATGCATCTGTGGATGGCAGTTTAAGAGAAGTTGCTGGTAATGTTTGACAGCAGTTTTCATGCCATTGTAGCAGTGTCTTAGTCACAGGTTCTGTTGAGCTGTTTCTCTCACCTTAATGAGTCTCTACATTGTGAGTAAGTATGAGACACCTAAGAACATTCAGGAACTAAAAAATGCAGTTGATACTTCAGTGATTTGAGAAATCACAGTTCTTAGTTTCTTGCAGTAAGAATACCAGGAGATTTTATAATCCCATTAAGAGGCTACCTTCAAACATCCACTGAAAAATGTCCTTCAGGGTCAGAAGCAAATACATAGTTAAATGCTTTTCTAAGGTAGGTTGTATATCAGCACCTTGGAACTGTATGAACATCAAGTAAAAAAAAAAAAAAATTAAATGTTTAACTGCTTATTCTTTAGGAGGAAACCTACAACTCCATATCTGTTTTCTAGGGACTAATTAATGTATTTTGTCTTCATTTTAGAAGTTGGGGCAACATAAAAGACTATCAAACTTTTTTGAGGCTGGTCAGAATCAAGTAAAGAACTAGTCTGGAGCTTAGAGAGTTGCTGTAGGATTTTGTTTTCTGGCCACAGTCTAGCCCCTTCTGATCCAGTGATAGGCTCACAGAGGAGTCAATGAACAATTGCCTCAAACCCCCTATCCTTGGGGTTGTTAGTGCCATGTCTAACCAGTTGAGCTAATCATGAATTCCAGACAAGGAGAGTTGTGGACTCAAGTCCTCCTGGGTAGCTGTCCTGCTTACTGAGTGGTGAAGCTGCAGATGAACAGCACCACCACCAGTTAGAAGGAGAGCAGCTCAGACTGATTTCATGAGGACCTAAACCATTCTGTGTGGAAGATGAGCTGAGACAGGCTGCTGGGTTTCAGAAGATGAGGTATTCAGCTGCTTAAGCTAGAGCATTTTCGGAAATGTGCAGAAGCAGAACTGAATGCTCCTAAGAAAAATGTAAGTTAAAACTAGACTAGCGGTTGACCAATTCAGGACTTTCAATAGCTGAGCAATTATCAATCATGGGATTTTTTTTTTTTTTTTTTTTTTTTTCAGTACCAAATCTAGATAGTCGGAGATTAAAATGATTGGTTTTGGATCTGCTCAGTAGGCTTTCCAGGCAAGGACACTATTACATCATCTCAGAGGAATGGATATTAAAACAAACTCCACATCTGAGAAGTTTCCACTAAGAAAGCAAGAAGACAAACATGTCTCTCCTTCAAGGGAAAAAGGGTTGGGATAGGTGTGCTGCAGTAGTCTCTGAGAATGTGGTCCATCTCCCAGGCTCTTCTTGCCTTACATCCTATTCTCCTCAGAGGCTTTTGTCATTTTTCACAGTACCTAGTACTTGCATTCTCTTGCTATCTCCCTGTTTCCTTCTAATGTGTGGCTAGTGGCTGATGCTGACGTGCAGCTCCTAGAATTGAACTTCATTTTTGTGCTCCTAGAACTGACATTGAAGTAGGAAGATCAGAGAAGCAAAGTGAATGTAAATGCAGGAAGTCGATGCGAGATTTGCTGTTTTTGAAGTTGTGATTCTTCTGCTTTTCTTGTCGTCTTTGCAGAAAAAAGCATCTTCATGATTCTTATCCATGAAATCAGCATATCTCAGCTGAAGTATTATGCTTTGATAGTCATACTACAACTTCCACACCGCTGTGGCTTTTCATTTTGGTTTAACATTTAAGCACCTACTGAAAGGGGAAAGTGAGAGTAATGAATACACCAGCCAAGGCACTAGATATTTCACTGCGGTTGCAAAACTACATAAAAGCAGGACTTCAGGTGTTTTCAGAGCAGGGTTTCAAATTCTGAAACACCCCAGTGATTGAAAGCACAGTGGGACTTTGCTGATCTCACCAAATCTGTGATGTATTTCATATGCATGGATTAAATCAGGCAAACAGCAGTGTGTATGGCATAAAGATGAAATAAAGGACCACTCCTGGATTCAAAAAGGACATGACTTGCTATCTTCAGCAAAATGTTTCCTTTTACTAAACATCTTCTTGACAGCTCCATGGTATGAGGTATTCAGAATAACAAACATATTACCCCTGTTTTTTTTAGAAAACAGATAGTCATGGGGAAAATGGAGACAGAACTGAGGGTTGGACTTAATACTAAGACTCAGTCTAGGCTTGTAACAAGAACAGGCTGCTTAAATTTTGAAATCTGCTGTTTGTATCTTTTTCTCAAGAGGGGTACAGGTGTGAATGATTAAAAGCAAGGCTTTTTGTGGTGCCTGATGCCTGCATTTTGTGCTTTTCTTGGGTCTGGGCAGCATAGGTCTCTTTCGTGTTAAAATTTATCTGCAGCTGAGAATTACATACTTTAAAAGTCGGGCACCCAGTCCCTTTGGTCTAGTATGAATGATACTTAATCCTTCAGTTCCTGCATACCTTGTTAGAAGTGAGCCTTGATTGTAAAGCCTTGTAGCCTTCCCTGTTGGTGGCCAGTGGTGAGGCGTGGAGGTTTTCATGCACCTCATCATAAATGAAATTGAGAGTTTAGCTATCCTTAGTTGTTAGAGTGATTACACACTAGTTCCTGTATAGAAATGCCTCTTTCTTTGCCTTTAGACTCAAAGTAATTAAATCAGTTCATAAATTCCATTGCTTGATGTGATGTCTTCTTAACAATTATTGTTCCATTATACTTGGAGAAAGATTCCAAGTACAGTAAGTAGAAAAGGTTTTAAATGTGCCTTCACTACTACAGTAAATCATGCAGTGATCATACATACTAGCATTTCTATCCACCTTTATTAGAATTACCAAGTTACTAGATGTAATTTGATTGTCTATGCCTGTTACATAAATTATCATATGTACATGATTCATATCCCAGACATCTGAATGTGCTGCAGGTGGAACAGTGTCCCCAGATACATGCACAGAGTATGTAAGTGTGCAAACTAAACATTGTTACAAAACCAAGAAAATATCAAAGCAATGTCTCCTTCTCATTTTAGGAAGTCCAGCGTGCTATGGGAAGAACGCCACCAAGACCAGAAAAAGGTAGGTATTGGTTTATGAATAAGCAATATTTTAGTTCCTCTAAACTTGTCTTTTTGGGATAATGCAATTCTTTTATCTCTAGCTGCAATGGAGGCATTAGGACTTGAGCTGTACAAGAGGAATAAACCTGAGAAGCAGCCATTTGCCCATCTCATTATTGATGATAAGAATATTCCATCTGGTAAGTTCGATTTTTAAGTGAATACTTCCAATACTAATTATAAATGTATTGAAAGTGAAGTATATTAAGGTATTTCAGCAAAACGTCAACAGACTGGGACTTCAGAAGTGGCTTTTGATAGTGAGAATAAATTGGATGCATTAAAAGATTTCAGGAGCAGCATGAGTAGTGGTAAAAGGAGGATGGCTCCCCTTTGTATCAATCTCGTGCTGATTTGAAATGGCCTTCATTTCAAATTGCCACTTTTCTTGACCAACCTCTTGAGGGGCAAATCCTGCCCCTTTGTGCTGTCTTCAGATGAGGAAGGAAGATCTACATTAAATGCTTTCCTCTAAAGTTTCCCGTTTTCCTTTGGCCTGTAGGGCCCATCAGGAGTTTTCACTCCCGCTGGACACCAGCCATCAGGATGCATGGATACATACAAATATGTACCAGCACAAACATTGCCCAAGCTACTGAGCAGGGGAAAACATAGTTCTTGTGGCTTTTATCTGCCCCTGTGGTAAGAGGATGGCATTCTTTTATCTTGCCAGAGTTCTTATTTTCTGCACACAAGTATTCAGATGGCTTTGTGAATATCCTTGCTAGCATAATATGAGGGAACAAGACATGAGTATGCCTTGGAACACTTTCCAGAGGAGAAGATCCATTTCTAACATTTTGAGATAATGTTAGAACAGTTTTAGTTTTTGCCCTGAGGCACTGTCAGTTGAGATTTTTTGCTGTATTCTCAATGCTGTGTTCTCAACAGTTGGTGTGGTATAAGTAAACCAGAGTTTTTTATGAAGCTATTAGGTAGAGGATCTAAGAAGGAGTGCATTGATCACCACTGTCTTCTTTCTCTGAAGATTTATACATTCTGCAGGGCTGAACTCATTGTTAATTGAGCTATGCACATTGCTTTTTTTGTTTTATATAATCAAGCCAAAGGGGAATGGTGTGTTGAGACTTGAAATCTGAAATTTTAGCAGACTGCATAGTAATACCTTGCTCTTGCTCTTGTTCTATTTAAAGACAAAGCACTTCTATACAGCTTCTTGCCTGGAGGGATAGGATTCTTTCAAGTGCATTGGCATTGCCACAATCAGGAGCTTTATAGCAGAGAGCTTAAACAGCTTGTCAGATGGCAGCCAGAACTTCCACAAGCTTTCTTGTTAGCTCAAATGCCTCCTGACAATCTTCTATTTTAGTCAGCTTTTGGCCTTGACCTACTTTAACAATAGGTCAATAGTAGAAGATTCAGTATCAGTAAACTTGCCTTAGCATTTTATCTTTTGGAAGGTTTCAATTAATTTGCTAGTCATAGAAACAGATCACTTACCTGCAGAAGTGGAGTGTGTGTCAGTGTTACAGCCTGAGAAATCCACCTTTTTCTGTGTAGAATTCATTTGCTGCTTACCTGGATGTTGCTGTAGACTGTAATTTTACAACTGTAATTTACAGCAGCTGATAATTTTTACGATTGTGCATTGCTGCATTAACCTTCAAGGTTGTGGCAGAGCACAGCTATAGGTGATGGCCAGGGAGACATTGTTCTTTTTTTGCTGCAGATCAACTTCTTGACAATGTGATGAACTGTGCATATACTCCCTTCTGATCTGGCTTTTGCCTCTTTCAGAAGAGCATTGCCAGGAGTTAATCCATGAGCACAGTTTCTGCAGCCCTTCTGGGGCATTGCAGCAGTGAGGGGCTGCATCCTTAGGGATAGCAGGAACCCTGAACCTGCTGGTTGTGAGGCACTTTATTATCATGCTCACTGGCATGAGGCAGTACCCACTTGGCTGGGTAGCACAGAGAGTAGTGACAGGCATTAAAGAAAGAAAAATATGTCTGAGAGGTCACCAGGAGTTTTTCCTCTCCCATCGTGTTTTCTCTGACTGCAAATGGCAATTTCTATTTTCATCCCCTGATTCTTTATTCTGAATGCCTGAAATCTATCTTAATTGTTTTCTGTCATCCCTGAGTGAACAGGTATGTTCTTAATATTTTAAGGTTCTCTACTGTCATCAAACTCATCCAGAATAAACAGTGGCAGGGAAAAAAAAAGTCTTCATCACTGTCAAACAGGATTTTAAGCAATTTTCTGATGAACACCCTTCATGAAGGGGCACCGAGTGTCTGTGAGAGAACATTTTGCTTTGACCTGGTTCACAATAACGTCAGGCCTCAAGTGGACTTTTGCAGCTGGGGGGATAGTGCAAGAGAGGAGGGAAAATAACCTTTCTCAGATCGTGGTGTCCCCACCCACCCTTTGGCACAGAAGCTGTAGTGGTTTGGTTTGCTGTGTGTATTTTTTAAGTTTGCTGCCTTAGGTTAGAGCTGGATGCTTGCTGGTTGGTTTTTACCAGAGCTCACTATAAATGCTACCTAGGTTTTAAATGAAAACAGTGAATTTTGGTTTATAAATTGATTACAGAAATTAGTCACAGTTTGAAGGGGAAAATAGCAAACAGAAATAATTATAATGTTAAATATATCATTTGGGGTGTGAATTGATACCTTTAGCTGTCTAAGGAAATGCTGTAGTATTCTTAGCTATTTACAGCTTCAGGTTTGACTTAGCTGCCCTTTGCCTTCAAAAGACTTTTCAGAGCGAACAGTACTTCGGTCCTTTTTCAGGCTTTATTTATCCTTAAAACTACTAGGATGCAAAGAAATGATCAAAACAGGTGTCCTTTCTCCTCTGTTTCACTCACATCATCATCCTTCTTGTTAATTAATTTTATTTAACTCATTTGTATTAGTCTTAGTTCAAGCTCACAAAAATGAAAGATATTGTTTTTATTTATCTTCAGTTTTGAGAAGAAGCATGCATTATCTTGAATTCTTAAATAAAGCTTTTTGCCCTGTCTGGGAGGCTATTTTGTTCATTATCCCCCAGCCACTTCCTTCTCTGTCAACAGGACTTATCTTGTGCTGTTTTTTCATTGGTTCCAAAGTAAATTATTTCCCAGAAGATACTGTATTGCAGCACTTTCGAATGTCCCATGGCTTGGGTTGTATGTCAGAGTTTCTGATACATAACATTCGTGGGCAGCAGATCTGGCACTTACATGCTCCAGTTTCCTGCATCTCTGTGTTTCAGGGTACTGATTGTTTTGATGTCTCCAAATCTAGGTGTGTTACCACTAGCAGTGCTGATCACCTGCTCGCTCCTCCCATTACAGGCTGCATGGCATAACTCCTGCCAGAGCATCTTTGTGCTGTGCTGCTGGCTGTGGCACGCCTCTTCTGGAGCTCTGAATTGTGGCAAAATGCCTGTCTGCCTCAGCACACACAATCATAGTGTTGTGATCTAGCTTGGAACGGACTTCCAGAAGTTATCTGTACAAATCCTTTGCTCAAAACAGAGAGGGTCATCTCCCATCATCTCTTGGCCTGTTCCCCATAGCATCCAAATAGTGTAAACAAAATTCACCCAGAGCCCCTGTCTCAATTACAAGCGACTGTGGCACCTATTTGCTCTCTTTTCCCTTCTTCAGCAGAAGAATCTTCCCACAGAGGATTTCTTCAAAATTGCAGCTTGACTGGCAACTAAAATGTTGACTTGTCAGGTAAATAAAATCAGCCTAGCAACTACCCAGTGTGCCACCAGGCAATCATGGCATGCCTTTCTGTTCCACCATAGGTTTGCATTCCTGTCCTCTATCCAATATGTTTCTCCTCTGATCCAGGCAGAGATTTCTTGCCTGTCCTCTTCATCTTGAAGGCAGCCTACTCTCCATGGGACAGTATTTTCTCCAGAATTAATGCTGTGCAGATGAAGCCCTGTAATTTCCTCGTCTGTTCCTGGTACTTCAGAAGTGCACTCCTAACTCAGAATATTTTGGTATCCCTAACTCAGTATATTTTGCAGGTGAATAATTGCAGGCTAAGAGACTTAATATCTTGTTGTCTCTTCCAGTTAATTGGTGGGTTTTGGGCAGTTTTTTGGAGGTACTGCAGAGAAGATGACTTCTCTATCGGGTTTTGCTTTCATAATTTCTACCTGGCTGCGCTAGACCCATAGGGGAGCAGCTACTTGTGACCTCCTTTGACAGTGCTTTTGCTTAAGTCTTTGTGGAAGAATGCCAGAAGGTTTTTGTTCTGGGCTGCCGTTAAAGTATTCCTCTCACATGGAAAAGCTGCTTGCCCTTGGCAGTTAGGGGAGATTCATGTCTCTCAAATCCCTCTGTTCCTTCTTCCTCTCCCTTTCTACACAGACCCAGACCAGGTGGGGTCCTGGGGCATGCCTCTGTGCATGCTTGGAGCAGGGGGCACTGTGCCCTGCTGTGTGCCATGGAAAGTTTGCTAAAGAAGGACTGTTTGGTTTGAAGGTGTGAAGTTCTCTGGTACCTGTGTGAGCCCACTGCTGTGGGAGGCAGCAAGTGGAGTCAGTCTTGTGTGCTGAAAATTACTAATGGTTAGGGGGACAAGTTGGCCACCTCTCATCTATTGTGTTATGCCCTGGATGTTACCCTGAATAACAGAATGTTAGTGGCTTGTGCCTATCAGGAAGTTTGTCATAAATACTTGAAGTGCTGTATGAAGTCTAGGCAACTTAGTATGTGGTACTAAGGATGCACAACTATACTGACCTTTCCCCATCTTTTTGATGGTATCAAATGAAAATATGTTTACCTTTCTACCACTGCAGTCACAAGAACATAAAATGTGGAAGGTTTCATAAGCTTTCTCTTTTTGGAATTGCCAGTTCAGTATTTTTTCTGAATTTTAGTTACTCCTTGTCAACACCTACATATTGAAGACATGTAACCAGTTTTTCACATTCTCCTCAACTGTTTGTAACTTGAATAAAATTTTAGGTGGAATGCAATGCCTGTGCAGAGCTTGTTGCATGGTTGCTTAGCATAATCAAACTATAGGCCAAGCAGTTATTCTATACCATAGTCCAGCAGGTGTTCTGCTGGAGTGGCACAGTTATAAGTACCAAGCAAGGTCTGGAAATGTATGGTGAAAAGAGGAGATATTTTGAGGAATTTTTATCAAAATTGTTTCATATTCACTTTAGCCTATAGAACTCCAGTTGCCATTGATTGTAAAATCATAGTGCTTGCTTTCTAAATGCTGAGGTTTATCAAATGTTTATAAATAATCTCTTCTCTTTTTTTTTTTATCTCCAGGAACTCGTAAAGTGAACCTCACATCCTGGCATCATGACAAAGGCCAGGCAAACTTATCAAATATGACATTCAATGATGGAAAACTAATTGTTAATCAAGATGGATTTTACTATCTTTATGCCAATATTTGTTTTAGGCATCATGAAACTTCAGGAAACTTGACTAAAAGAGGGCTTCAGTTGATGGTTTATGTGATTAAGACAAACCTTAAAATAAGGCGCTTTGATGTGTTGATGAAGGGAGGAAGCACCAAATACTGGTCAGGGAATTCAGAATTTCATTTTTATTCTGTAAATGTAGGGGGATTTTTTAAATTAAAATCCGGAGAAATGATAAGTATCCAAGTATCAAACCCATCACTACTGGATTCTTCGCAAGAAGCAACTTACTTTGGAGCATTTAAAGTTAGGGATTTAGATTGAATCTTTCTTTAGCGTGCTGAAAATTTGAGGTTTTAGTTGTCCAATAACAACTTGAAGAACTGAAAATCTTCTGCAACCCAATTACATCTGTATAAGCCATATATCTCTAAAGATATGTTTTTGTCCCATGCAAATTCCAGCAGGAGTCCTGCAAATATATGAAAGGGCAAAATTATACAGTTCTCTTGATGCAGTCTTAAAGCAGTTTTACTTCATTTGTCTCCAGTGGCCTCACTAGAGTCATTGTGCCTTTTGCATTGCTGTAGTTCAAATCAAAATAATTAATATCACTGAGCTTCTGTTGCCAAGTTCTGCCCTGATTACCTTTACAGGTTTTGGTGCAAACATAGAGCAGGACAGAACTTGGCTCCCAACTTGCATTTAGGGTTCCGTTTTGTTTGGGTTGAGTGTTCTGACCCTGAGACAGCAAAGGTTATGAAAGTGTGACTAATCCCATTGCATTTGATGTGGCTTTTCAGATGCTGAGTTAGGGCTGATTTTGCTTTGCTGGATTAGGATCAGAAAACTCAGACCATGGCAGAATTGTATTGGGGAACACATAAACAGTCCATCTTAACTGTTACCTGATTAATAGGGCCATTCCAGGAAGAAGGGACATCATCTGGCCTTGCAGTTCTGAAAAGTTAATTACAGGTCATGTTGTTATTGTTGCACAGTTAATTGCAAAATAGATTGCCAAAATACAACGTGCCTTTAAAGTGTTACTTTGTGCCAGAACCTGCAAATACATTTTTTAAACAGAAAGTATGTATTTTTCTATTCTGTAATATCTAAAGTTATATTTCAGGTGTAATGTTTTGTGTAAAAGAAATGTAAATTATATTGTCCTATAGTATTTGATACAAAATATTTAAAATCTCTTGCTGTTTGTATATTTAATGTTTTAAACTGTTTTTATGTACAGACATGTTAAACTTGTGCACTTTTTAATCCCAATGGGAAAAATGCAGCTATAAGAGATTGTTTGCAATTAGCAAATGTAATATATATCTTTGTTCTTCTTAACTTAATACATTTTTTTAAAAATTATCAGTATTAAGGGAGATGAAATCATACCAATGCCATGAGTAATTATACCAGAATTCTGGTCACTGGGTGCCTTTCAAACCTGGAGGGCAATTAAACTGGCATGATGCAAAAATAAAACTAAAAAAAAAAAAAATACATAGTAAGCCCCAGAAATGTTTTAGGGGTATTTATAGTTATTGAACAGGCATATTTTCCCACAACAAAATCTGCCAATGTTAAATTCTGCAATTGAACAGTAACTTTTTTAGCTTAATTTCCTAAAAAAGTGAAGCTTATGTCATTGCATTGCCTGTTCTTGTCTCCCACTGTAGCTTTTAGAACTCTGCACCCTTCTGCCAGCTTTGGCAGATGAATGGCAGAGTTAAGAGATATTCATGCAGGTTTTATGAGGACAGACAGCTGAGAACACCTCAGCCATTTATACATTTGTCAGTGGCTGGCCACTGTTAATTTTAGCCAAGAGATTAACTGGGGAGACTCCTGCAGCATGAGTTGTCACGTGTACAGTGCTTGGCCAAGAGAGGTGGGTGGATGGAAACTGAGGGTGGGTACGGGGGCCAGGGGGGAGGACTGCAAATAAAGAGGTGATATTTAGAGCACATCTGCACAGGGGACATCAACTTGTTGGGTAGGGGGATGAGGGAGTGTTTTGAAGTGTTTGTGTGCTCTATGGATGATGTGGGGCAAGCCCTCTATTTATTGCAGTAGGAATCAAATCTGTAGGAATTGGGGCTTCATACAGATCCTCAGGCTTTTAATTTTTTTTTTTTTTTTTTGTTAAAGGAACTGAGTTGAATTCAAGCAATTATTTTATATTGTATAATAAACATTCCTTTTTAATATTAATATTGTTTTCTTACAAAATATATTTCTAAGAAAAAAAACAACTTTGTGATTTCATTATTTTTATGTGTACCTGTATTTCTTGCGCAGCTTTGATAATTATATTCAGATTTCAGAATGTACATGCTGGATCTGGTATAACTCAAGAAAACTGAGGCATAAATCAGCTATTTTGAGACAATTACAATGAATTTTACTGAGTTTTGATCTGGCTTTGGATCTACATGCACCACTTTCACGTCAGGTTAGATTTTTAGGAGTTGGAAATTAATCTGAAAGTGAAGGCTTCCCCATGATGTTTCACATCTAACAGTTGTCACTTCAAACCCACAAATGACTGAGGAATGTGGGGCTCTTATTTTATTTTCAAGGGCTACAAGTCAAAATCATTTCTTCCTAGTATAGAGATGTCCAGTGACAGGCTGGGAGAAAAATATCTGTTCTGTGTCCTAGGGGTTTAAGTCACCCTCTGGGGAGGTAGAGATGGGGGTTCAAGTGGTTTGAAAGTAAAGTTAGACTTAGTAGCTGAATTTAGCAAATGACAGGAGGAGAGCCACCAGCACTAAATGTCACCTGAATGACAGTGTCTGTGGGCTGTGGGTGTGTTCTGAAGAAGGTCTCCTGTAGCATGTGTTGAACCCCTGAGCACAGACTTGTCTGCGCATCCTAAGCCACCAGAGCTGAGACAGTGGCTCCTGAGGCTCAACTTAGCATGCATGTTCTCAATAGGAGGGCTGTAAGCATCTACATTTCACAATGCAATATGAGGATTTAAGTTTCCGTTGTGCAACAGCTTTGAAGCCTAGCTGGTTTGAGGGTTGTGGCGGTTTTTGTGGGTTTTTTTTCTTCCTTAGCATCTTCTGGCTGTGAGTTTTCCAGTTGTGTGATAAAATAGGTGGGAGGATTGTGATAATGTCCTCATGGGGCTTTATAGGCTACTGTGAGAGTAACAATTAGAGGCCAAGCCCTTACTCTGCTCTCTACAAAACAGAAATGGAGTAAGAGATCTCATTGTTCTGCCTGTCATTCCTTGGTCTCTTCTTAACCTTTGTTCATTCGAAAGGAAACCAGAAGCTCCATGTAGAGCTCTAGGTACAGTTTGCTTTTTATATCAGAGTAGCCACAGATTGAAAAGATTCAGTGGTGTCATTTGAGGCAACCTGGGCACATATTCCAAGGTGATGAAACTTGTTTGCACTACCACTGACCTTCCTAAAACCATGTCTGCTCCCAGAAGTGTCCATTCTTTGGCGTGTGCTTCATCAGAACATAATTAATGAAAAGAGCAGACAAATCAATTAATGGAGGGAGTTAGTTACCTTAAGAAGAAGGGAATGTGCTGTAGGCCAATAAACATATCTGTGATTCTTATTTTATAATCTTCAAAGATAATTTTGGTCTGTGGGTAGAAGATTATTATTTGCTGAAAAAATGATGTTAAAAAAATCTTACTTGGAAATAGTTTATTTGAAATTCAGGGTATTTGTGTGCATGTAAACATCTGTATATTCTTACCATGTTCTTGCTGAGTTAATTTTAATACATGGGGTTATGATTGCATATTTTGGCACCTGGGCACTCCTCCCCCCTCCTTCCCAAGCTTGCTCCAGCCAGTGGCTGTTTCTTTTTCTGTCTATCCCACTTCCTTTTCTCTGGCGCCTTCCAGCTGACAGTGTGTTCTGCTCACCCTGCTCTTACTGACTTACAGCTCCTTTTCCTTGTGATAACAACTGCCTTGGTTCAGATCTAGGTATACTCCCCCTTTTTTTGGCCCATTTTCAGGTAGCTTTGCTGTGCTTTTTCGTGGGAAAAAACAAGAATTTTGTTTTTCAAAAAGATTTTTGAACCTTTGGTGCCAGAACTGAGCTGAATAGGAATGAAGAAAAGTAGCTGGCGAATAAGGAACCAGCAGGTTGGACACACAAAGCAGTCTGTGCTGCCCTTTGGTTTGATGTACCAGTTCTGGAGGGCTCCAGACAATAACCACATGTTTGTATTCTGCTGTTAAAAAAATTTAGTCTGCAGCAGAACTTAATATAGATGGCTGTGTGCAGCATTTTACTGCGGTGATTGGAGAAAAATCACACCTAAACCAGAAAGTGCTCTTATACATAGGCAATTTCTTGTTCTTTCTCCCTCTCTGTATTGGTGCCTTGTCCAGTATTTCCTGGTTGCTGTATCTGGGACCACAACCTGCACATTTTGCCAACTGTTTATTTTTTTTTAGCTCACTGGAGTCTGATCCTGTATATCCTATACCGTTGCCTAATATCTCCATTTGTGACTAGCTCCAAAGCAAAGCTCAGTCTTGGAAAGCTGAGAAACCTGTGTCAGCTTGAGGTTGTTTGAATTAGATTTCAAAAACTTCTTGGCAACTCCAAATGGTTTTCTCTGCTTTTTTTTAACCTTAAGTATGGATGTGCTGGGGTTTCTTGCTGTGCTTCCAAGGGAATATTTTTTCTGGGGTGGAGGTGAGGGCTTGGGTATCTTTGATTTAGTGCTATCTGTTCACAACCCATTTTATGAAGTTTAGAGAGGGCATATTTTCCTTGCATTTGTTCAGCACTTGAGTCATGTGCTGTTTTGCTGCCTGCTCTCTTGTGCCATGCTGCTTTTCCCCAGATGGCACATCACCAAATGCCAATCCATTTATGCTTGGCTGTGACAGAAGACAAGCAGGAACTCCAATTGCTTTCAGCTCCCTACATGCTGCAAGTCACAAAATGATAAGGTTCATTTTCCCAGCCTTCTGGGTGGGATCGTGATGTGGCTGCTTCCTCATCCTGTAGGTTCCAAATTCCCTACATGTTTGTATTATCAGCAGTAAGTAAGGATGCCTGGTGGCTGGCTTTGGGGATGCCAGTTCCTTAAGGGGAAGATTGACAGAGGATCTCCTTCCCTCATCCTCTTCATGACAGGTGACAGATTTTGGAGGTACTGAAATATGATCACATGGCAGATAACTTTTTGGGAGATTCAGATACGCTCTTGTATGTTATTTTTTAACTTCATATCCCACCAGTTTAAAGGATTTCAACCCACTTTTTTCTGTTAATTGGGATGAGTGTAGTGTTTGGAATTATTTTCCTTACTGTATCACAAGTGAACACATGGCCGCAATCACAACCTTCCAGGGATATCATAGGTAAAATCAGTTCACCACAGATGCTGGCTGTGAATGCAGAGTGGAGCAGACCTTCCTTGCTTGTCCATAGTTTACTGTTGTGCCTGCTCTAACCCCAGCGTGGGCTCTCCACCCTGCTGGCATCCCAGTGAATTGATTTACAGCAAATGTAACCTGTACATACTTATTCTGGCCTCTGAGAACTAATAACACATAACATTGTTTAGTTAGCAACCATTTGCATATTGACTACTCTTTTTCTGTGTAAACCTCCCAGATATAAAGTTTTCTTTGAAATTTGACTAGCTCCCTGCTTGACCTGTACCTTTTTGCAATGTTAGTGTCACTAAATGTTTTTTGTTGTTTGTTTTTTTTTTTTCTGAAGTGCAGTATCAGATGCAGTGACACATCTAAAACAAAACAAGATACATCTGGTGTAATGTTTTATCACTCATCATGGCTCCAGATCTTTCTCTGGGAAAACATCTGCAGTTCTGGAAATGAATAGTTAGGTTATTTCTGTCCTGCTAACTGGAAGAGGGCTGGAGTTACGAGGCACTGAGTGGCGGACAGCCTTGCAGCTTAAGCCAGCTTCCCTCTTAAGCAGAAGATCCTACCAAACTGCAACCCACTAAGTTGTGTTTTTATCACATATAACTGAGCATATGTGCTGCATGGCCTAGGGCTCAACAGAGAGGGCTCCTCCAAGCAGGTCAGACAGGGCTGGCATAAGAGCTAAAATAAACCTGTGTGGGCAGCAAAGGTCCAGGACTGAGTCTCTGCCCATTTTTTGCCTTTTTTTTTTTTAATCTATCACTGTCAATAAGAAAGAATAAATTTGAGAATACTCTGGTAGCACAGAGTATTTTTAATTTGCTTACTATTTTCTGAGAGCAACTGTTGAATTCACCACCTCTTGTCACCTGTCATCTATAAATGTGTAATTGAGTTACTATTTATGTGAATCTGCATTTTTCTCTCAAATCTGACAGACATATCATTATGTAAAAAGAGAATTTTATTTAAACCTCATTAGTCTTATTATATATATAAAAAGTAGTATTATGATTACTATTTTTCACTCACAAATATATTGGACTACAGTCCAGCATTCTGCTTCCTGTAGCACTTTATTCTGTTCTTGCTTTG